CCCCCTCCCACCCCAAGACGTCATAGATTACGGAGAAGGCAATCCTGCCGAAAGTTATATGAATAGCCCACCGCTAGAAGAAAGAAAAACGGGCAGTAACATGGTATCAAGAACAAGTGCCGCAAGGCAGCGTATGGGTGTTGTGCACAATCTACTCCCGCTCAAATCGGGCAAACTACCGCAAGCACAACCCTAACCCTAACCCTGCCCAGTCGTCGAGTCAACAGGGTCTAATGAAGAGGGTCAAGGAATATGACGTCCTAAGCATAAGAGCTCGTTCGCTGGAGTCATTTGCTAGAGAATGCATCGTACATGACAATCATCTTTTGTCCACGATAACGCCTATGTTCTTCGTGCGAAAGTATACCAGGATTCATGTTGGCACGCGCGTATCATGTTCCGAGAACCGCGCTTCCGTAGCAACAGCCTGCAGCGCGTCATATCATCGCTCACGCTTGGAGAAAACTAGCGAGTACTGTGCGATTTATCATGCATATGGAGAAAGACACATAAACGCACTTTTTCGGCTGGCACTGTTGCGAGACCTGTAGCCGGTCGTGGGGCGCATGTTGCCGTCTCGACCGGGGACGTCATGTCACCTAGCGACCATATATACTCTCCATCTCTGTCACCGTAGTACAGTATACAATACATGGAATCCTCGAGGGTCGGCGGTCCATATCTTTCCGACAGAGAAGGTTGATGAAACGCCGTGTGGTCAAGGCATGCTCATGGACAGCAGAGACTGGGTGTATCGCGCATGGCGGCAGCAGACTTTCGGACACCGTGACGACATGGGACACTACAACGGCGATCATCACAAAAGGGATCTACCTATGTACTACGAAGCGATATATTTTTAACGGAAGCTGGAAAATAACTCGAAGCCTTGTTGGGTCCATATTGCAATTTTTTTTGTTCTATTGACACAGCAAATGTTGGAGTTGGTTGAGACGGTGGAAGCCTGTACACCTTCGCCCGGCAGCTGCAGCCCATCGCTCATCCTGGCGATGGGGCGGGGTACAGCTATCTAGGAGATTTATTTCTGTCTTTGAGATTTATTTCGGATATTTTAGAAATGTCTGACCACCGCCATGGGGCCGTGTTTCGACTGCAGGACGCGCTGCAACGGTCGCTCCCTGGTCCGGATATTGCGTTCGCAGCGCCGAACTCCGGCAAATGTTCCGGCGCAAACACGCTGCCCAATGATGCGGAACTTTCAAGTAGCATCGTGCTTATTTTACCGTACGCTTTTCCATTACTTTGAGGATGCTCGTCACGATTCATGGTGTTGGGCCAATGCAACGACGACGGGCGGCCACCGTTTTCCGCAGGCCGAAACCAGACAGCTGGCCGCTGATCCTGGTCACGCCTCCAGACCCGAAGCTATCGGCCGCTGACGATCGATTATATCAATACTTCACCGTGGAACATTCAAGAAACATGGGACTGGCAGGTCTCTCACGTACTGCAGAGGCAGCGCCCAGGAGCCATTTTCCGGTACCTGCCTACCTGTATAGCCTGGTTCCGGCGCCACAATGTGCAACCAGTGTGGCTAACAATCAATCGAGTTCAATTTCGACCATCGAACTCGATTGATTGAAGGTGTGTCCAACTCGATTGAAGCTTGACTTGACGGTCAATGAGCTTGATTGACAACTTGTCAAGTACTTGATGTACTATAACTAACTTATCCTTGGCGGGGCAGGCATAACTAGGCCCGTCGGTGCATATTGAAGTGTGGGTCGGTATCGAGGTGGCAAGGTATGAGGACATATAGAGCACTAGGTTCAGACATGACCGATATTGAGGCCTGTCCATTGTTCGCGGATTCTGCTACGATTGCCGCGCCCGACAATGCGGCCCATGTTAACCTGGATCTCACGCCACGAAGGTGGCCGCAAATTAAACTCATTCCCCTGGAGGAGCTGGTCACCAGTGTCGAAAGAACTCTCCCTGGCTGCGCTCATTTGTGCCTTGGTTGTATAACGCAGCCAGCGCTCCAGCTGCTTTAACGCTGCCAGAGCAGCATCTCTCTCCTTGTCATCGCTGCTTCGGGTGTCATGGCTTGCTGTGGCTCTGGGTTGGTCGGGTTGCTCGCCGGGATGCCTGGCCCGTGTCCGTGCTTCCGTGGTCGCATGCGAACTTCGGCCTTGCGGCGAAATGAATGGTGGCTGGGTTTGTGTTAGTACGACGCTTTGTGTTCTTCCGTGGACTAACCCTGCTTACAGAGGTTTCGTCCAGCAAAGAAATGCGGCGGCCTGATGAGTCCAGAGCTTGCATGCTGGATAAACAGGGTAAGGGTACCAAATCCGTGCCAAGACGGGAATTAAGTTGGCCACCGAATGTGATGGTATTGTCATGCCTGGCCGGCTTGAGCAGACGAGTCGAAGTCGAGGTGCAGCTGGCTTCGCAGGCGTAAACGGTGCTGCACTTGTCCAAATATACCGTGCTGCTTGCCCGCGAACACATGCACCTTCACCGCGCATACTCCTGGGAAGCTGAGCAGAGCGGATTGGTGCCTTGTGGCAAAACGCATCCACTCATATTCGTGGCTGAAGATCAAGGCACAAAAGCCACGAGAAGAATTCCGAGCAGCAGAATGGTCTGATTCCCCACCGCACATGTCTCAACTCGTAACAGCTGCGGCTAATCAAGAGCGCTGGCAACCCTCCTTCCCAAATCATGGGTAACGTACATGATAAGCAGGACTTATCGTGGGGTCGATTTGCGGAGTAATTTCGGGAAATCGTATGCGATTACAGAAGCACCATCTGATAAGTGCACGGCGACACGCACGCAAATATCTCCACGGCTAGTAGCCCAATCGACGCCGTTCCGGGGCCTGGAGGACTGCTGCACTCCGGCGAAGAGTTCGATTGAGGAGTAGCGCCGTATAGGCTGCTGTCCGTCGAGATATTTGCGTTGCAGCGCCTCGAACAGGTAATGGGGGGCTAGGCTCGGCTGCAGGGACTGCGAGATAGTAATGCACCGATCCTACGGCCCTTTAATCCTCAAAAATGCGTCTAAATAGATATATATATGTATTCAGACTCTACTAGACGGCTGGCTTACGATCGACGACGGGCGGTCCGCTTCCCCCGCCGGGCTCTCCGCCCCCGACGGCCCTGGCCCAGAGTCGGACCTGGTCCCGGGCCTGGACCTGGGTCGTCGGGCACGGGGGTCCCTACCTGTACCCGTATCTGGCCCTGGCCCTGGCCCCGATCTTGGCCCCGCCGCCGGCGCTGTTTGAGCTCGTCGACGAGCCGGTTCAAGCTCCGGCCGGCGCGTAAGTGCTCTAGCTCTGCAA